TTATTCCTTTTCCTGAATTTCCTTTTACTATTTTTAATTAAAATATTTATTTATTAGTGTGTATATGTGTAGTCACACTGGCCACAAAATGAGAGGAGATGTCAGAGAAAAAACATGTAGTATTTGGTACTCTCTTTCTACCATGTGGGATTGAACTCAGGGCTTAAGGTTTGGCACCTGGTGTCTTTACTCACTGAGCTCTCATCTCTGTGGCCCAAGAAGAGTGTTTTATTTTTTTAATATTTTATTTATTATTTTTATTTTATGTGTATGAGTTTATTTCCTGCATGTATGTGAGTGCACCCGTGTCGTGCAATACCATGGAGGTCAGAAGAGAGCTTTGGATTCCCCTCGAACTGGAGTTAAGGATGGTTCGTAGCTGCCATTTGGGTGCTGGGAATTGAACCCAGGTCCTCTGCAAGAGCAGTCAGTGCTCCTAACTGCTGAGCCATCTCTCCAGCTCCTGTTTTTAAATTTTTTGTTTGGGATGGTCTCCTTGTAGGCCCTGCTAGACTGAAACTTGCTAATGTAGACCAGGCTTGCCTCAATGTAACAGTCTGCCTGCCTCAGCCTCCTGTGTGCTGGAATTAAGGCATGTGCCACCATTTGGCTTATATTTATCTTTTTTTTTTTTTTTTTAAAGAGTTAAGGGAAAGGTCTTATCCAACTGGGATCATGGTAATACGGTTACTAGTGGTCTTTATGGTACCAACTGGGATCATGGTAATGCGGTTACTAGTGTAACCACAGATGTTCTCATGCACTTAGCACACACATGAAGACTAGCTGGCAGCAACAAATGTGGGACGTGTGTTTGGCAATACAGTGAAAGTTACAGTGTTAAGACTGACTGTCAAACAGCTTCTCTCTCTTTTTTTTTTTTTGTCTTTTTAGACAGGGTCTCCCTGTAGCCCCAGCTATCCTGGAACTCACTGTAGACTAGGCTGGCCTTGAACTCACAGAGATCTGCCTGCCTCTGCATCAGCTTCTCTTTTCTATCATTCTAAAAAATAATCCCTGCGCACCGCCGATCCGATGGAGGCCCCATAGACTTTTTGGAAATATGCCAGAGCTGACAACCAGTTATCTGACCACAGAAGTGATGAACCTTGATTAGAACAATTTTGCTTGTAAAATTTGCTTGTAAATTTTATAGAAAGGGTTAAAACGGGATAACCTTTAACATAAAGCTTTAGAACAGGGGCTGGAGAGATGGCCCAGCGGTTAAGAGCACTAACTGCTCTTGCAGAGGACCTGGGTTTGATTCCCAGCACCCACATGGCAGCTACAAACCGTCCTTAACTCCAGTTCCAGAGGAATCTGAAGCCCTCTTCTGACTTTGGCATTGCATGACACGGGTCCACTCACATGCAGGCAGTACACTCATACACATAAAAATTAAAAAAAAAAACTTTAGAAGTAATTTAAACATACCTTAAACAGTGAAAATGTGTTAATTGTTGTTTACAGTTGGTGATACCATTGTTTAGCTTAATTTAGCCAGTCATGAATCTCTTTTTAACACTTGTTATTACAGTCTTCCTTATAAATAGGCAACTCAACTGAGTGAAGATCGATCTGTGGTCCATTTGGTTTGGAGACAGCATTTAATAGAAGTGTCTGTAGCATGGGGTCTTCAAAACCCATAACCACTGAAGTCCCTTCCATATAGATTACCTTTTCATTATAATTTGATTGCTTCAATCCATTGTACTAGACAGTCGAAGATTCTGGACCACTGGAATCCTAATCAGGAAAAAATTCTTGAACGGACCCAA